ACAGGTATTGAGAGATCTCCTCTGCCGTCTTTTCTGACACTTCAAGCACTCACAGCGGCACATTCTTCAGCTGAACACTTCTTTATTCAGTGCGTACTTCTGTGCATATGCTTTCCGGGCTGTGCGTTAAGACAGTTAAGATGTCCTTTTATCTCTCGCTGGTTCTTCTCTTCCATGTAAAGGTGACCACGAAGCTCTCCATTCTTTGCTGTCTCTGATAACTTGGTAGATTTGCAAAGTGGCGAGTCTGCCTGTTCATTACTTTCAGATGGTGCTGCTTTTGGAGCCCAGTGGTGCAGTGGTTAAGCAGTTGGCTGCTAACCAAAAGATCGGCAGTTCGAATCCACCAGCTACTCCTTGGAAACCCTATGGGGGAGTTGTGCTTGGAATCGGCTCAACGGCAATGGGTTTGGTTTTGGTTTGGTGCTACCTTTGCCCCAAGTATGCATGGGGAATAGGCAGTCACTGCAGTGACATCCAGATTCGCATGTAATTAAAAGAAAGCAAGAACGGCTTTGCGGAGGAGTATATATTTTAAATATTAAAACTGAAAGAGGCTTGAAGTCATCTAGAGAAGGCTTCTGTAATTTTTATTTTAAAATAGTTTTCATTTCTAGACCATGTTCGCTGTTTTGAGAGATGCTTATAACATAGGACTTTCCTGGATCAGGAACCGGCTTTTATTTGCATTGAAAAATACTTCGGGCTTTTTTCAGTTTGGATTGCAAATATACATTTTTAGTATTTTGCATAATGTGCTCAATATTGGAAAATTCTGGTAAATGATTATCAGAAAAAGATGAGTTTGTTTCATTTGTCTTCTTTTGATTAAAAAATAGTGTAATAAAACTTGGTGTTCTATTCTTCCAAAGGGAGAAAAAAATATATATATATATATAAAAGAGTTTGCTGTGGTCCCTGGGTGCTGCAAATGGTTAAGCACTCGTCTACTGGCCAAAAGGTTGGCGGTTCGAACCGACCCAGTGGCACCTCGGAAGACAGGCCTGGAGATCTGCCTCCGAAAGGTCACAGCCTTGAAAACCCTTCGGAGCAGTTCTGTTCTGCACACATGGGGTCATCATGAGTCAGAATCAACTCAATGGCAACACACAACAAGCACGAGTTTGCTAGCATTCTGACGGTAGAAGTCTTGAGCCCGAGTAGTTAACAACAGTTTTTCATAACTTTAACGGGCACAGAGGGACTGTGTGATGCAGCTTCAGTAAATTTGTGTTCTGTTCATCAGCCCAGATTTCTGCATCTTCAAAGAGACTGATTGCATGGTAAAACACGCATGAATAGAAAATCTATAGGGGAGGAAGATCAGCATGGAAATCTGGCAGCTCCTTCAGTGGGAAGCATACTTTAGTCATTGTGTTATCAACTCAAACCTAAAATTAAATAGATAAATAACCTCAGGACTGTTCTTTGTCAGCTTATGTTTCTAATTACTTTCACATTTACATTTCCACATAGAGATGCCAGTCTCATAATTTTAAATATCTACAGAGTATTCCATCTGGTTGATGCATCAGTTTTTAGCCATTTCCCTATTGTTGGAT